TTTTTTTTTTTTTTTTTAACATCAGCTTGGTTTCAGGCTCTGGAGCGGAAGGGACGAGGCGAGAGTGTACATGCTGTTAGAATTCGTCGCCGGTGGCGAGCTTTTCTCTTATTTGAGATCAGCTGGCCGATTTTCCGGGCCCACCAGCTGCTTCTACGCGGCAGAAATTGTTTGTGCCTTGGAATACTTACACAGCAAACACATAGTTTATAGAGACTTGAAGCCTGAAAATCTTTTGTTGGATAGTCAGGGACATCTGAAAATCACGGACTTTGGTTTCTCCAAGAAGCTCACAGACAGGTAATATTATTTTCAAACTATGTAAATTCTAATGCAACGATAATCTATTTCTGAATGCAAAGGCAAATTGGATCCAAGCAAATTTAGGCATTTTATAGATTTTGTGACCTAATCTCTGTCGAAGGGAATGCATGCGACCTCCAAGATTCCCACATTCCGTTTTGATTCCAAAAGATGTATTTATCTTTAAAACTCAAATGATCAAATGAAAAAGAACAGTAACATTCCCGGTCAACATAAAAGAACCGAGAGTGATCGGCAATGAGATCTTGTAACTGAGCGTGCGAACGTGAAAAAGATCCTACACAGAGAATAATTTCATCCATTAGTAACTGATTAAATTACTAACACAAGTGTCATATGCAGCTATTTTATCAAACTGGTATCACTGGTATCTACATGAACTGAAATATTCCACACATTATCAATTACGTATAATTATGCATATTTATTTCTTAGCATCTATCCAGATCGTACAACATTAATAATTGCAACGTGATATGGAAAATTTATCGACAACTGCACGCGATATAACGCTTCATTTCCTGGAGAATAATTATTCTAAATGATCGTCGTGTTGTAGGACGTGGACTTTATGCGGAACGCCCGAGTACTTGGCGCCAGAAATAATTCAGAGCAAAGGGCACAACAAAGCTGTAGACTGGTGGGCGCTCGGTGTTCTCATCTACGAAATGTTGGCTGGCTTTCCCCCATTTTTCGACGACAATCCTTTTGGCATCTACGAGAAGATATTAAGCGGCAGGATAGAATGGCCAAAACATATGGATCCGATTGCCAAGGATCTGATCAAGAAGCTTCTGATCGCAGATCGAACGAAGAGGCTAGGGAACATGAGACAAGGTGCTGATGACGTGAAGAGGCATCGTTGGTTCAAATTAGTCGAATGGCCATTGGTAATTCGTTAATCGATTTCACGAATATATCAAGAGTATGAAAAAGAATATTAAATAGTATGAAATTAAAAGGTTTTGTAAGCAAGCCAGATGTACGCTATTCTACACTATACAACCTTCTCTCACTCTGTCATACTCTTGAAATTATGTACAATCTCTAACGTAAGACAGGCAAGTAGGTGAATGTGCATAAAGTATGCCT